CGCGGCCGTGACACGTGACACCTACCCGGTCATACTGGAAGGGCGGGAAGGGCGCCGCCCTGGACGCGGAGTGTACTGCGCCGCTGGGTCGCTGGTACAGGTAGGGGTAGTAGGCCTGGTACACCACTTCCGGGCAACTCATAGTCATGGGCGACGGCGGGGGACGGTCCGCGCTGGCCGCGGCGCGCCCGGGCTCCAGAACGACGTCAACTTGGTCCGGGGTGCGGCCTCCGGGTGAGCCGGGCTGGCCCCGTCGAGAGCCCCGCTGTGGGCCCTGCTGTGGGCCCCGCTGTGGGCCCCGCTACGGGCCCCCTCGCGGGCCCGCTTCAGCGTGCCCAGGTCACCGGCGCGCGGCCGCCCCCAGGGCGGGCGGGCGGCCCCTGAGCACCATGGCGACGAGGAGGAGCGTCGAGGAGAGCGACGTCACCAAACACTGATCACTGACACTCACTAGCACTGCACTCACTGCACTGACACAGACACACACACACGCGCGCGAGCGCTTACGCACACGCACACGCACACACTGACGCTGGCACTCGCGACACTGGGCTCACTTCGCACTCGCGCTCACGCGCTATATCACCGGCGGGCTCGCTCGCAACGCTCACGTCTCTCCCTGGCGGCGGTCGGACGCTCACTGAGTGCCACGGCGCGCTCGGCCTCCCCTCCCCGCCGCAGCCGAGGGGGCGGAGCCGTGCGCGCCGCCCCCCTCCACCACCGGTCCTCCGCGGGCAGCACGCCGGCGGCTGGCGGCCAGGCCTAAAGGGTGAACCGCTTCCGCCAGGCCAGAGCTGCTCAGGGGGTTGCTGGTCCAGCTACTGAATGACCTGCGAAGCCATTGGCACCCCCTCCCTCCCCCCTCCCCATGCGAGCGATAAGCACGCCTCATTACACTTGCCTGTTTAATTACTCGCTGCAATTATTAGCTGCTCCCGATTGCGGCGGGCGGACCCGACGGCTGCCTCCGAGGCGGGCCGTGGCAGAGGCGCGCGGGTTTCTCGGGTTTCTCTCGCCCCGGCTCGGCCGGCCGCCGGCGCGTACGCAGCCCCCCGGAGATAGCGGCCGAACACTCTGGCGGGCCGTGGCGCACGAGGTGGAAGATAAGGAGCACGGCGCGGACACGGCAGGCTGCGGCCGCGAGGCTCCAGCTATGTGCACTTAGTGCTCATTACCGCCGGGCTACCCGGAGAAAAAGCCCGTGGTAATGGGCCCCACCGGGCTGGCTCCAACTGGCGTTGCAGCGGGGCCTGCTGCGGCCTCGCGACCCCAGCTCCCGCGGGGTGACGAGTATCGGGATCGCCTGAGTCGCCCACTAGCCCGCCCGGTTTTCGCACGGAATGGGGGAGTCATTGTGCCCCGATTGTATCGACGATACGGTGGTAAGGTCATGATACCGTGGTGTCTTAGCCACATTGAAGGTGAAGGGCAAGATAACGATGCCACGATCCTACCCCACCACAAACAATTGCAGTAACGGTCCACACAAAGCTCTCCCTTAGTTTTTCGTACAGCTCAGTACCTACAACAGTCCACTCCGACCTGCCTGCCATCTGGCATGACAGTATGACAGCACCTGGCCTTGGGAAGGACAAGATCGTGTCATCAACTTGACAACCCTCGGTACAATGCTACAGCCTCACACCTGCAGGTTCATGAACATGAGTTTGCTATGAACAAGCAGTCATTATAACCCTTTTTGAAGTTGAAAACTAAACAGAGTTGCGTCGCTTACTAATAATGTGTGGGAGCTGCGGTTATGCGGTACGCGCCGCGATCCGCCTTGGACTAGGTGTCTCGAAACAATGCGAACGAAAGTGCTCCCCTCCCCTCTCACCACCCTCCTGCTCACAGGGATGTGCACCGCAATCTTGAGTATAGAAATCCAGGTGACTTCAGTCATACGTGCTGAACACCTACTGCTATTCGATGTTTTTCATTTTGTACCGGGTGACAGTGTTGCGGGTTTGCCTTGCCTAGCCTGCAAATCAAACTGCAGTAGTACAAGATGTCAGTTTTAATTGCAAGACTATGAGTTCAACAGTTTATAATGCAATTTAATTACCAACGAAATTATTTTTTCAGAGAACAACCATCATCTTTTAATGTGTAACTCCAGTTTGCCATGAATAAGCTTTCAAATTGAAAGAGGCTAAGAATATTATCGTGCACTCACGCATGCAGGCGGGTTCGCCTATCGTCCCTACCACGGGCCGAGGCCTTACAGGTTTGACGCTCGACCCAGGGAACGATGTGTCCGCCGCATTGCAAAAACTAGGTAGGCTGGGCGAATCATGTTCAAGTTCAAAAAGGGACATGGTTATCCAATGTTAATTCCAATTAAAGCAATGGCAGAAATGCAAAGAATTTAAATCCCTTGTAACTCTGAAGCATTGACTTTGCAATTGCAAAGTGATGATTTGCGATCGCAAAATGAGGATTTACAAATGCATAGCATCACTTTGCAGCATGTGGAGGGAGGCTGTCATTGCTTTGCAATTACAAAACATCACTTTGTGTCG